GGAAAATAGGCCTCCCTCCATGCTCGATATCCCAGACCCAGGCACGGAGTGGTGAACGCCACTCGACGTTTATGTGTCTCCTGAATCTCACAAGGAATTGCTTAGGTTGTTTCACCACAATAAAAATGGGTCTGAATAGGCCTATTTCCTCGGGCGCCTCTATAGATGTAAATATATTGTGCCTAGATATTTATCCAGCCCGAGTAATAGTAACCGTATGTGTTTTATAATTACCAAGGTTCGTTAAAAGTAGATCGAAGTCGCAACGTTTGCATAATGGCAACTGGCAGAGATATGTATCGTATGTTTAATTTTGTAAGTAATATATACCAATGTCATAAAACGACACGTGATCACAGCTCACTTCGCAGTATTGGTTTCTTAAAATGTCTGTAAAAGACGGTTGCAAAAATGATATGACTCACTTTCCATTGGCAGCGTCCCTTGGTAACGTCCAACATTTCCCTTCTACTGTGATCGAGTATATTTGCAACCGGCGTCTGTTCATCTATTAGACGGAGTTGTAGGCGCAAATTTAGTTTTGATAATAAACATGCTCTACAGGTTACTTCGCATACGTTATATCACAGAGCTGTCGGAGGTTTTGTCTTGTCATAAACACAATCATTCCGAGGATCCTCCACTTACCTAAGTATAAGGGAGGTGTGTAGCTCCTAGCTATCCATCATACTTGGGAATAATGGGCTACTTTGAGTAGACGTACCAAGCTGTCATATCAAGATTCCTCGGTGTCGAAAAGTCTCACCATTTCGACGGGAGCATTTTTTTCAATATGAGCAAAAATTCGACGTGATCTAACCCTGACGAGTCTGAGGTTTGCAGTCCTTGCTTAGGCTTACACGGCGCGAGCGCGCTTTTATGTACCGTACAACGGAAGAGCTTGACGCTTGTCAGATTCGATACAGTCCGTCTTGGTAAACAGCTTCTTTTAGTGTTTTTTTTTTCTAGGCTAGAATTTTCGGAACATTTCTAGTTTATGAGTGCGTATCAGCTACATCCCAAACGTTTTTAGTGCCTTTATCGTAAGAAGTATCTTTCACTGTTCGATTTCTCAGAAACATTTGAATTAGAAGCGCCAAAAAACTCCACGTTAGCTTTAATTCAATTCAGTACTTGAACTCGTTTGCGTGGTAAAAGCCAATCGTCTGCAAAACTTAGCGCCAACACCGGATGCAAAGCTTGAAACATTTAGATTGGACAGACGGCTTGGAAAAACACAGGAGAATTGATCAGACAGGACCGAAAAACTGTGAAATACAAGCAAATCCGTGCCGAGACTAGCAGTTCCATGTGAACGCGTCTCGGTAGGAAAGGAAATCCTTTTTGAACGAATTTCTAAATGTGACCCGCGGTATTTTCCAGCATTTGCATGTTATACTAACTTATCTAATCGATTAAGCAAAAATTAGCTAGAAAATTATAAAAAAAATTAGACTTATTATATAAAATTATTATTCTAAATGGCTACCTTTGAACAACTCCAACAAGGTGGTCGCTAACCTTAATGTTATGCTATTTTTAAGTATATATACATACATATATATATATATATATATATACTGAAAGCCAGCAAAATATAGAAAGAATCGGTAGAATAACTAAAAGATCACCTTTCAAGTACTTCTTAATAGTCTTTGAAACAACTGCCCTTAAATAAATTTTTCATTTCTATTTCGTCTAAAACGTTTATAGAGATCGTATAATTCTTGCAGTAATAGATTCGTAAGACATTTTAGGTGCGTTCGCCAACAAAAAATAAATTGAGTCGTTTATAGGAAGTCCCAGGTAAGCGCGATTCCGCAACGCAAATGCTCGGCTGGATCGCCATCGATCAGTCCCTCTACACAGACGCTTAGAGGCGTTTTATCACTCAGAGCGGGGTGGTTCTGAATCCAGAAGGCTACACAGTTTAATAAAGAAAGACATACATTTGAGAATTTTTTTTCTATCTCACATGGCCGATATTTAGGAAACTATACCTTTTTTTTGTACGATGCTTTCTAGAAGTTGTTTAAAAAAATAGCAGTTTAGTAAAGTAGCAGAATGTCTCCATGGGCGTTCGACATGTCTAGCTTAGTTAGTTCTGTTTATGTAATTGACCTGTTCAAGAACGTACGTCTACTGAATGCTCACTAATGTTTAAGTGATGCAGATTTGAATGCAGGTAAATAGCGCACCCGACGAGTGAAGTAGAAGAGCCGAAGAAGGACATACATACATACCCCTGTAGCGTATCGATCACAACAAGCGAGGTTTGTGTATACCTGACACAAATTATTACAATTTTCTGAACTTCGCTTCATTTTTGCCACTAAAAATCACTAAATGTAGGAACCAGAGCTAGTTTTGTTTTAGGTACGCGCGTTACAAACTAGGAGCGAGGGTGATGATTTCCCTGATCATCATATGCAGCAGAAAGAGCTGTCAAACATGGCCAACAAGGCGGGAAAGTTTGTTCTTTCTCCTGATATCTGCAAGCAAACATCGCCCTGAAAATGCTAAATGAATTTACTGTCGAATGCTTAGCCTGGCATCATTAGTTACGACTGGTTCACCAGTCTTGATTAAATCATTGGCCGTTCCATTTGGATAAACTAGCAATTTGCAACAAGGACTATCATTAGGCCGTAATCTGAATAAACTGATACAGTTCCGCAAGGGTATCTTGCTACTGCAATCGTCCTACTTTAAAACCCGCTTAGAGCAGAGATTATTTGTGTTCGATAAAATTGTTATATAGTTTGATACTCAATTTAGTTCTGATGCAGGTGCCGGCAGACGAGTTTGCTCGTAGTCAAAAAGGCTAATGCAAACGTGCGGAATACAAAAAATGTCTCATCTACGGCAGAACATATCTACGTGAGATTTCGAAGATATGCCAAAGTACGCAACCATAATTGGATCGGAAAATAGTTAGCCTTTCCGATTACAAATTGGAATAAATAATAATAAGGCACTCAAAAGTACTTACCCATATCATATTTTAGAGAGTGACCTTATTGAGGCGGGACACGCACTATCGGTTAATCGGAACTTTGCACACTGTACGAATAAGCCTCATTTATGGCTTCATCTATCTCCTCATTATACATGCACTACTTTAAGCAGCTATTGCTGAAGCCGCTAAATCTAGTCTGCACAAACTCACTTGTAGATTGATGAGTATTTAGGAAATGCCAGTAGGGGAGTACTTCGTGGTTCAACTGTGTCAATGTTTCGTCATGAGTTTATGCTGAAAAGTGATCGTTTGAGAAGTATAATGTCGTATTTCATCACGATAGTAAAATTAAGCGACTTTACGGTTAAGAATATACTGCCATACGTCAAGTCAGCGGGTACGCTGCTTAAACGACCGTTTTCATTACCAATGAAAACTTATCTTTTACGCGATGCCTTTTCTGTGTTCGTTGCCGAGAGCTACTATGAGTTAGTAAATACAAACGATCACAGAAAAAATGCAGCGTCTTATCACTAATAATATAATTCAGCACAAACATCTACATGAGCTTATTTACACGCCGTATAATGCTGTATATTGAATTTAACCAATATACGTCCCCTTAATATTTATGATTTTCAAAAAAAAAAATCGATTTTCTGTGCTTGAGTAACCTTTGCGGGACCTGAGCATTTCACAAACTGTCGAATCTGTTATTAAATTATTTAGAGATTTTGTTTGATTTTAAGAATCTACAAAATGACCACCCAATCTCTCGCTCAACAGTTGTTCACTCATTTTTGTACGTAGATTAAACAACCATTTTGCTATCAGCTACCAGCTTCACGTTATTTCCCTACCACTTCGCAATATCACCTCGTATCGAAAGGAGACTCTCAGGTCGGATTCGTTCGCGTTCGGTTTCCGCGCCGAGGCATAACATATGTCAATAGTGACAGGCAATGCTTCATCCTTCACTCAAACTTGCTAAGCGGCCAGTATTTTCTAGCTCGCTAAAGCTAAATGGGTAACTGGCTTTACGTCATCGTGATGTCCTTTATGCAGGCGTCGCTGTGTTCCTGCCACTGTTCTTATCGTTGTCGTTGCGGCTGCCAACCCGCTTGACGTCAAGTAGCTAGGCAGGTCAGCAGAAAACCAAGCAGCTGGGTCTCAGTAGCAGCGACAGCAACGGAAAAGGCCTTCCGTTCGTCGTCTGTCAGCAACCAAGCAGTTAGCCCCCATCAACCTTCATCACAATAGGTTTAACGAATGTGTGTTCCTGCGTCCATGTACTTTGCAACATCTTGAGGAAACCAAACAGTTTGTTTTGATTGGCATGCTGCCCTGACGATGCCTAAGGACTGAGTAGTTAAGCATTGACTACTTCTGGTTGTTTGCTGGATTGGCGAGCGCTGGTGGGTTTTTGCTGCTGAACTGGAAACATATGGCGTTACTTTGTAGGGTCTATCTGTTTATATTTTACGCCTGCTTCCTCTATTCACCTAGATGGGCTGATAATGCATTCAGCCTTCACTCCACCAACGTGATTGCTGTATATATTATAAGCAAAGCGTACATAGGCAACGTGCTTAGGACCCTCAAAAGGACATTATAGTCCAACTGACGGGTGTGATCAAGTAGCCCCTGCTGCCATCATCTCCTTAGCGGTTATGGCTTTGCTCCATGGACGGCGAGCTTAGTATTCCTAGTTCGTATAGATAACTAAGCTAGATCAAAACGGAGACCGATGTGCGTAGGTTTGCTTTCTGTTATTACTGAGTATTGTTATTACGACAGCAATCGCGTTATTATTGGTATTATTATCATCACCCTCAGTTTCGCAGGCTTTCTACATTCAATCACAAGTCATTTCAATTGTTGCGACCACACGTCGCCTCAGTCAGGTGTAGCAGCATCATCATTTCGCGTAAATACACATCATCCGCGAAGTGATCTGGTTTGTATTGTCATTGGTCTAGTCTATGGGTCTTCGTCCATACAATTTGTTCACATTTTGACGTATGATTCGTCTGATTTACTATATGCAAGTATATGACAGCGGGTAAGACCCTGCTAGCCGAATAAAATCCGGGGCACAGTTTGTGGGCCCGCCAGAAGCAAGCTAAGCCGTGACTGCTCAATACGTTTTAGGCACATTTCCAAACTTACGATCAAACCTGTGTATTCTAACAAAGCGAGGAATATCTTGCCGTTAGCAGGCTTAGAGCGCTATTAGAGACACGATGTATGTTATCAAAGGAGCGTTACTCACGTACATGCTCCTGTTCCACGGGACGAAAGCTCAGGGTAAGAAATTCGCCTTTTTTTTTTTTTTTTTTATTGCGCTAAGCAGAACTCGATGCGTCTTACATTACGTATATTTACCTGAAGCCGCACTGTATCGTACAATATTCATGATATAAATATTGCTAAATATCATAGATATATAATAGGCCTAAGAGGCTTTTCTTCTGGCTCACACCGTATTTGCTAAGCAACCTCAAAAATCATTGGTGTTAAATTCATCTTTAAGTGGAAAGGCAATTTTCGCTATACGTCGTTGTACGTTTGTCTTACGTGCATTGTGCAAGATACTGTGAATCAATTGCACCTTAATAAGACATTGTACAGACACTATACTTTCTCTTTTAGACTATGAACACATAGGTCCAGAGTTCGAGGTTATTTATTAGGATATCTGTTTATTAACGACTTATAACTTTATATGTCCACTAGCAAGATAATTGCTAGGTACTGCCAATCGAAATCGCGTTCTGCTTTCTGTAGACGTCGACATAATGCTTACTGTTTATCTTGGCTTGATTATACCAACCCTATACGTTTCCTACTTTTATATAATTAAAGGATGGCAACTTTTTTTTATCTCTATTCTGTATTCTATGACTATCAGTTAGTAAGTAAACGAGGTAATCTGAAAGAAGTGAAGCTCAATACCTTGAAGTCGCCTATATACACCCAGTTATTATATATAGAAGCAACGATCATGTTCGCTCGTGCGCACCTTTGAACTTTATAAATAATGAGATAGCTCAGGTAAGAGGGCCAAGGACATTAAACAGTTGTTGTCAGTTCCACCTTCCTTTTCGTTGTCGTATTGTGACAGTCAACAGTGAGCAAAGCGTTCTCAAACGCCGGACATAGCGAAACCCCTACAGTTGCCCCGTTCCTTTCCTTCTATGTCGCCAATGGATATTACATAAGGCTGACTAACCCAACAGAGCTCTATGTTGGTTCTTCCAATCGTGATTATTATTATAGTACTTGCTGTATTATTGTAACTGTTGCTATCAGTGATTCATCATTGCTACGATCGCTTTCTGACTTGTTTTTTTTTCTTCACGTTTCTTCACGTCCTGCTGACATTGGCGGAACGGGCGGTGTCGCCATCGGTAATATCAACTACCTCGACTTTCTGCCTACTCTTCGTCTACTCGTTCGTCCACAGTCAGACCAGTGCCCACACAGCTTCCAGGATTTCCTACAGACTCAACAGCTTCTAGCTTTATTTCTTCTTTGTCGCCCATGGTGCCACCCGTGACGCCGGGGGGAGCCTCGAGTGCAGGTAGCGGCGGTTCAAGTGGTGACGGCGCGATAAATATAGTTCCATCGACGGGTACGTACAGCCAATAGAAAGGACAATAAGCCCTTCGGACTCGTTTCCTTTTTTCTGCTTGCCGTCATAAGACAGCGATTGATAGAGGGAGGGAAAGAGAGCACCCGGGTTGGCCGACGCGCAAAAAGAACGCCGCCGTCCTATGAGACAATAGATAAGAAGAACGCAAGAGGCGCAACCGAACGATGGGAGAAGAGTGAGACGAAGTATACAACACAAAGAGATTACATTATGCTAGTATTATGTCCAAATTCGCCGCGTGAGACCGTCCGCGGGATTCCGATGGCTGTGGACCAGATGTGTGTGCCATTTGTGCACGTCTGTGTTCTCTATGCAGCATATACCACTGGTGAAATTGTTCAGGATGGACTGCACGAAAAAGATCAATAGCTTTGAGCAGCTAAAATCATTCTAACGTTACTATCAACCACTGTTCGTCCAATTAGAAATCTGGTGATATCTGTTAAGGCCATGCACTAAAAAAATGTACTGTGACTACTTACGCACTATAGTATTTACGTGTGGGTAGGGGGGGGGGGGGGGGGAGAGACTTCATACAAGAACGCCTGTTCCCGTTCAATCTTTAATACCATAATGTTTCATTATAATCAGAATAACAACGATTTTTCTCATCTTGATATATTGTTAATTATATATTATGTTTTGTAGCATTTTTGTCTAGAACTACTACATGGATAGTATGCTTTATATGGTAAACATGGTAGATATAACTTGCTAATTTTTTGTTTAATCGTTCTCAGCAGACTTTGTCGGTTACTAATATGATCTAGGAATATATTTTGCTTCATCTACGTTCGCTATAAATGCAGTCTTTAAGTTCTAAGTAGATCTTATAACATCCATGAGATAATTACGCTTGTTCATTGAAGCCCCTTAAACGTTGCATGTCCAGTGATCAATCTAACTTTGCTCTAACGTTGATATGTGAACATCGTGCAGTCCCCTATTTGCGTGCATTGAACGAATTCATCATGGCGTCACGGTCGATCAGGGTTCTGCCGAAACATGGAATACTTTTTTGTTTAGTAACTCTTATATACAAATACTGAAGTCTTCAAAGATCTTTTTTTTTTTTTTTTGATTTTTTAGAAGAAAGGCCGAAATCACATAATTGCGCTGCTGGGACAGCGTTTCGTGTTGTTGGGCGCATTGCTTCTATTTATCAGGCAAACCGCAACTACGTGGAACTACGAAAACTTTATATATAGTCCTACTCTTATGAGTTTTTGAGTTAAGATTCTGTTACAACGCCTGTTAGCTTTTCGCTGTTTCGAAAACATATGAATCAAGCGATTAAACGCACGTGTTTTTGTGTTATCCTCTGTTAATCATCTGTAGAAATGTAGAACGAGATAAGCTAGTTTTATTAAATAAGTTTACTTTTGTCATGGCCTTTCTGATTTTTAGTTGATTTTAGTAGGCTTCGAAAGATCACTTTTACCAATAGGAAATAATAGATATAATTTGTGCTTTGTCCGCAATTGAAGCAGCGTCGTCGCAGGAAATTTCGGCTAGTTTTACATTCGCGTAAAAGTGTCAAGCAGCAACATTCTTACCCTTTTGCATCTGTTTTTACCCATCTGCTTTTGGTACACTGCCATTGCCATGAGCCAAATAACAGTTTCGTATTAGATGGCCTTAGTTTTTAAAACTTTTTTTTCGTTATTTTCGTGTACATTTTTGTTCACCAGATATAATGAAAGGGTGTCTGCGATTACACAATATATATTTTGAGCGTTAGGTTTTTTTGCTGGAAAACGGGATGGCGTCAGAAAAAGGGAAACTTATTTTCACGCTTAAGGCATTTTCATGAACGAAATTTTCAAGGTTGCGGAAAAATCTTCGCTAATCTGTGCCATTCAAAATACATCGAAATCATCAAAAATTATAAGCTAAGCATATATAATTGATGGAATCAGGACGTTCATTTCTTTCTATATGGGTATCACATGTATTCTATACGTTCTAGAGGATATCGGTTCCTATACATCCTTCGATATAGGGTACCTACAGGTCTACTTTTCTCTCCAATGGGCAGCGCATCGATGTTTGCTCAGATATCAATTTCCGCTTCATCGTGCTAGCCCGTGATTAACCGCTCACTGAGTAGCCGATTTTGAACGGTTGCCTATTGTTTGGTCACATGGTTGGCAAATTTCACTTAATACGTTTAATGCACCCAATGCTGTAAATTGAAAAAAAAAAAGGACAAAAGTCCTATTTTCAAGTATCTGCTATTGCTTATTATTGTTTTAAGATTTATTATTTGATTGATTGAGCTGACCTCTAATTACTACCCAGAGGTAACGAATTGTAGATAATGCAATATTATCTTGATAATAGGCTAAATTATTTTGAACTCAGTATCTTATGATGGCCATGAATAGAAGTATGTATAACTTCAGAACAAAAAATCTTAGAATCGCTCCAAGAGCTTTATAAGTCTTTTTTGCAAAGAATTGTCTCAAACTCAAAATCTTGAATAGTTACGACCTAACCGGATAAATAAACGTACGAATCAAACAGGAATATCATCCCTAACCTCTAGTCAATTATTTAATTAGTAACTTGGAGAAGCTAATAAGGTGAGAAAGAGATGATAACTTTGTTTTCGTCTAACGTTAACGCTACTTCTACACTGTTGCTTACAACTCTATGACAGAACTATGCGTAATTAGCACCAACACGTAACACCGTGTACGTTTTGGTTCCCACAAAATCTAAATAAGGTTAGTATTTGGCCATGTTTCTGAAAAACCAACCCTTTGTTCCTCTTGCTTGTAATATATCTTCTGCATCACTCAGCCCGGCTTCCTTTACAGCACTTAGCCGGAAATATAAATTGAATTTCCGCCGTGCAGTCTCATAAAAAGAATCCTCTACACGCTTGTTGTTGCTATCTGCAGTGCAATAAATGTATAAAAATCACCAGTGGTATTCTTCCGTAACATGTCGGATGTGTATTACGGTATATTTCGAATTTTCCATCCATCTTACAGCTGGACCCTAACACGAAACAAGTCTGTCTATGTCCTATGGGTTCGAGCCTAGACCACGACACGCAAACACGTTATCCACTAATCTATCACGGAAATATATAGTCGAGATATTGTTAAGCCGATAAGTTGTGACTCCCTCCTTTAATCTTCCGTACAAATTCGATTTGCTCTAGGAGCCGCATAATGATGACGAACATTACCCTTACGTAGCCATCAAGTACACTAAAACTCTACGCTTATGTATGTGCTGTCATTGCCTGTGATAACGCTTACTTGTATTTGAGGGAAACCTTTGTACCTTGCATTTGCTATCATTGCATAGGACTGTTTGATTTTAAGCCATCAATGATGTTGAAGGCTACATGCGTGATAGGAGGATGTGATAGAATGATTTCTACTAACGCAGTGGGCTGCTTACCTCGAAACGCCCTGGTCAGTCGAAGAACTTCGTATTTTATAATCTTTTCATAGTAAGGATGTGTACGATATAAAAAATATCCTCTAAATATTGTCATATTTTTTTAAACTAAATTTATACTGTCGTTAAATATGTAGGCCATGCTGCGAAAAATTCAAAGAAACTTTTGTGTATAGTCGATCGCCTTAATGCTTCTAATTGCGCTGATAGTTTTAATCTTCAGTCGTGGTCATTGTACCTTGGCGTGAGCACGATACGAGTAAGTTTTTCAAAGTTTTGGCATAGCCATAGTTGCTAATGCTTGAACTGGCTTTAATACGTTGACCGTTCTTCTGTCCTAATTCCCCACGCTTACTAATTACTGCAGCATCGTCTATTTTTTCATTGCTTTCCCTAAGAATTACCTAATCAAACCCTTATTAAAGAAAACATCATTAATTAGTGCAGTGCTTTGCTGTTGATGATAACAGGTCTGGCGACGGTGACAGCCAGTGGAAATTTATTTCCGCCTTCAATTACCATCAGCGGATCGCCATTCAATATGTCCTCACCAAACCCTGGTCCCTCTGTGACAGGCACTGTGGGGTTTGGGGGTCCGGGTAACGGTATTAGCATCATACTAAGCACACAGGTAAGCCAGGTTCACGTCGCCAACATGCTGCTTGGCCTTTGCCACACAGTAGGTAAGCGTTCGCTTTTGAAAAAGGTACTGTGCAGAATAGGCATATATTGTATAATCGGGTGTATGACATACCCCAATGAATTGTAGAATATGAGAGCTATATTTCTAGTGATAAGACTAGCCTATTTAATAAAATATAATTTAGGCATTAAAGGACCTCTTCTGTAGGTACGAAAAATCCGTTTGCTTCGGGATAAATTTTGTTTCGCACATCTACAGTGGGCTATGGGCATTAGACGAAGATATGAGTCTATCGAAAATATAAAGGCATATAACGTATAGCATAGCGTGTTTTTTTTTTTTCTCATTTAACTGTCTCTACGTTATAGGACTGTGTACAGAGAGCCGTTCAGTGTCCTCAAGGCTACATGATGTCTTTCTGTACGGGATGTCTAGCAAAGTGCACGAAAAGCATTGAATCTTTTAGCTTTGCAGCTTTCAAGGAACACATGAAAATAGTTACTGCTCCGGACGGCACAAACTGCACGACAAACTTTGTCAGTAACCTTTACCTCCTAGAGGATTCTTATAGCAGGCTACATAAACGCTAGGTACTTAAGAAAAACATGGTAGAACCTCTTTGTGTACAAAAGAGACGGAAACAACGCTAATAGCGTAGAGGTACAAAATGTCAATACACCTGATTGTAGATAATGCATCATAGCTGCTAGTGCCAGGCCACTTAACACAGATCACTTCTGTACTCAAAGCGCGTGTCTACCGAAATGAGTAAGGTTAACTAATAGAAGCCCGTAAGAGTTGTCCAACTCAGGCGATAAAAGCCCGTCCCAATGTCCTACCTTTAGTGATACCTAGACCTAGGGTACCCGTGGCACAGCCAAGACCGGTTGTGCTACGGGCACCTAGATATCTGGCCGCAATTGCGCATCTAAAAACATATTAGGCTGTCTATTAACTGGGCCAGTCTATATAAACACCGATAATGCAAACGAGGATTATTATTGTTAATGGTTGCGATATAATGCATTTGATATTACAAAAAATATACAGGACGCGTAAAACAATAATAATTATATTAGATGAGGTTCATACGCAACGAACTTAGCCACTGTGCACTAACTTCGCTTCACGTTGTTTTTGTACGCGCCGCCGTCTTCCTTCGCAGTTCTCAGTTATTCGGCAGGGCACATGTCGCCTCGGAAGTTGTGTCACACCAATCTTCCCACGGAACTCAAAATTTAAACTGTGCCCTTTTGGTATGCCTACTTGCTAACATCTGCTATAATATATATACCACAATCCCTTTTTCGTTGTGTCGTTAACGGCTCACCATTAACACTGCCGCTCTAGCAAAGGAAAACACTTCATTGGATTGTTACAGCTTGTCCTACTTTGGTCTCTCCCGGTAACTCTAGCCATTACTATAGAGCAAAGAATGTGAGTGGCTGAATTTCCATTCAGTGCACTAATACGAATGCAAAAGTGTACCAAGCCACACCGCCATTGACCCGTTAATAAAATCAAAAGGTAAGATTTGTTGTGCGAAATAAAAGAGAGATGACTTTTTTGAAAACAGTAGCTGAAGGAGACTATGTGGAGGAACGAGAGTTGCCATGTTTATGGCGAACAAGTACAAAGACGGACTGTTTACGATACCCGTGTTCGGCTGCTGTTAGATTGATGTTTACGTGCTTTAGGTTCATGTGCCGAAATTCGATTTATGGGACGCTTTCTAGAGAGCACTCGGTATAAAACTTGTCACGTTAGCTGTGACAGTATGCTTCATCTTATTTCTCATGGATTTACACATGAATATTGTAAACTTCCACACTATTTACACCGGTTAACTTTATATCGTTTGCGATAAGCCGTTTATATTGTTCTTCCCATATACTTTCGGGATCCAATGATTCCTTTTTCTCTGCAGAAGGTTTAGGCCCGCTAAAACGACATGTGCTAATGTGTTATGAGTGTGTATTCTTTCAGTGCTTATCATGACTTGTCATGTAAATATCAAGCGATTTCAAGTAGCATGTCAGCCTTTCTGACGGTTTCCATGATCCCTATAACGCCAGTCGCGTTCCGCTGAGTAGCGTCAACAGGCTGCTTTCGCATATGTCATAGTCCATGTGATTTTTCAATAGAATTAGAAATCAAATTGACTCAGATAACGGGTTAGCTTAGCTAATTGTGCTCTAAGATGTTATTAAATTAGAAAATGGGCTGCATACTAACGAATATGTGTACTTTTATCTAGTCCGATAGGAGAGTATAAATTAACTATCTTCGACCCAGAACATCAAAGCTGTTTCGTTCGTGTGTGTCGGTATATAAGGGAAAGGCTTAATACACTGCCATTCAATTTAATATTGAACATTGAAAAGTCCTCTTTGGCAGACCTTGTCGATATTTTCTAACCGAGAAATACATGTTTGTTAGAATATGATTTGACAGACATCAAGAGTATATAAATTAAAGTAAACAGTAGAGCCGAATTTGTTTTTTTTTAATTACCATATACGTTCGCTAGCTTTCTACTTAGTATAGCTTAAGGATACTTTCAAAACGTGTACAGAATTGCGACGGACAAGAAATGCATATGTATTGGATGTCAAATAGACGATTCTTCAGATTCATATTTCGCAAGATATCCCTCGAAAAAACTACGCACCGTTTAGAACAATCACGCTTCATAAATCTATTGTGAGAGGCATGAACATCATGTATTTTGTGTAAATATTCAATAGACGGTTATCGCACATAAGCTATCAATAAGACGTATCGAAATAAATCCCAGCCTTGTCGTAAGATGTTTGGCGTGAGCTCCTTTGGTTTTGCCATTGTCTAATATAGTTTGATAAAACGTTCAGTGGCTAAAAATGATGCGATCGATACTGTTTTTTCAAAGGCAATTATCAGCGTTCTGCTATGCAGCGTGCTCGCTCACGACATGCAAATCAGTCGAACTTCCGCTTGGTTACTGCTTAAAATAGTTGCTTCGAATTGTATCACACTGAACAATGTTACCTTCTACGCAGCTCTTTAAAGTTACCACGTTGTCTTTTAGTCATGCATACGCAGTATTTACAAAAAGTTGAACTACTGCATCGAATACGGTCTTATCACAGGGTCACTCAGCCACAAAACCCAAATTTAGAAGATTGGAATTGTGTGTCTGGCATAATATCGAATTCGTAGCACTGCAATATGCTTTCCGTTGAAAACATTTCACCTCGCCTATAGAACACTGTTTCGGCAGTTGATTCTTAATGCTCTCTTCTACGGCTGACATAGCAGATTGTAGACTAGCGTTGGATTAGCATAATAATCATTAAGTTCTACTGGAACGAATGCTTATATTCTTTCTTTAGGAATGCGCATAGTACGTATAAACTAAGCAATGTTGAAAAGTTCTTGGATACATTCAGTTCAAACGATTCAATACTGACACCGCTGTAACGCGGCAATTATGCGATATTGTCAGAGATACCCTGAAAAAATTTTAAATACCCTCGCGCGTCAATTGGTTCTCCTATAGAGACAACGGTGCGGATCCAGCTCACCCCCTCCCCCCGCCCCTTTTTTTCTCCGCATTTGCCGTTCTTGTTACGTGACGTGTTTAGACCCATTTAAAAGGAGAACGATACAAACCAGTTTAGGGGTTGATTTTGAGTGAATTCGGTCTGTGGACACATAGAAAAGGTACACGTCCGTTTTACAAGTAACGGATCAATGCACCTGATTTCTTGAAAAATATAGCTATTTGATTGCTCAATAATCCAGTCATAAGATATTTATTCTAGCTACATGTTTATCTACATTATGTTTAGATTTTAGCTTACAAGGTGAGTTACATTGAGTGTTGCTATGCCACGAATGTACAGAAAACCGATTTCCTTCTTGTTTGTTTTGATAACACGTTTGTACCGAAGCTAAGAAGTAGGATTTGCCAAGCTATATGTCGGTCTTTCATACGCCAGTGGCATCACGTGAACAATATTAAATAATAATAATTGAATAAAATTTCCATCACCTAGACCAAACCCCGTACGACGCGTTCGCTTTTCTGCTTAGCCCCAGTCATTCGTGTCAGACGTTCTTCACTAATGCTGCTAGAGTCAAATAAGCCACTCGTTAGAAAAGATCACGAAAATAAGCAAGAGTCAATGTATTTGAGCTGTTTTGGCGATGATCTCAGTGGGTGAGCCATATGGATAGGTTGCCCGGGTGGACAATATTTGGCCTGTACTATATAGGCTTGCTCGTTTATCCCGAACACAATTTAGCGAAACGTTATTTGTTTCTTCTAGATGAATCACTGGACAAACATAGCAATTGAACACACATCTTTGTCGGCTCACGCCATCTTGATTGACAAGTCGGCGGCTATAAAGGAACAGCTCTTTCTCTTCAAGTTTACAATAGTATTTAGTCTCTGGATGTTTCAAGAGCACATCTACGGTAACGCAAGAACAGAAGAGATTTGAGCAGATACCATCAAACGCTATTACGATAAGACGTCAAAATAAAGCTGCACTTAATTTTAAAAGTTCACAGATTAATTGAATTGTATTATTTTTCGTTAAGGAGTTATATGCGTCGCTTCGTTTCTTTGCCTCTATTGTCAGTTTTTCTAAATATTCGTCTCACATCGAATGTTTTTTTCTAATTCTCTGTTCGAACTGGTAACAATAGGCGATAAATTCAACTATACATTTAATGGAAGTCGTGCCGTAGGATTAGGTTCGAAAAATCGCAGTACGGTCGTAATTTCAGGTTCGAGATTCCAATAGTCTTCACCTGCACAATAGAGGCATTGCGCGCCAATTAAAGCTAATTGCAGCTGCCAAATGTTATAATTAATGTTTCCTAGTTGCTGACTTAAGTTTTCACTCCAGCTCAAGTGTTCATCATTTAGTTTAAGCCGGAAGTAATCTCCGACATCTTCCAATATGTATAGAATTCGACGTATCCGATATTCTCGGTAAATTTCAAAATTACAACGGTAGCAACGGTACCGTTTCTTGCTTTTCAGTGATTTCTCAAAATAGTTGTGTGTGTTTTCTATCTAAAAGCAGGCGCCATGTATTACATACATCTTAATATCTATCATTGAAATTCGTTGTTACTTTCGTTGACTAAAATAATCAAAGATACACACGGTAATAGCACAGTTGACTAATATGAATTTAGTATGTGCTACATGAACACGCTCGTTTCTACACGATTTAGCAAAAGAGAAGAAAAACCGAACTTCGTAAATGCTCTCGTTCGTATCAGTACGTTTTCGTATGGAACACTCGACTATACACGTAGAAATAGATTATATATAAAACAGGTTAGATCACCAAACAAACAAGTATCCGACTATACGTATACTATAGGCAATTCGATAAAATCATATGATGAGTCCAAAACAAACATTTCGACTAAATCGGATAACCGTTAACCTGTCACATCGTTTGGTTGTGTGCGAAGTGGATAAATATGCATTATGACATTGCTTTTCTACGCAGGTAAGCTGTACGGTACGCGTTCCCGGTAAAGGAAAGCTACTCCTTCAAGTTCGGATCGTATTAAGCTAAAGTCAATTGGATTCACTGGGAAATTTTCTACATAATTGATTACTTCTAATCACATAGTTGGTGTTTAAGATGTCTTGACCTTGTAAAAAAGTTGGCTAATCAATGACGCCATTCTTGTTATTAGCAGAGTGACCCTTTTGCAACGACCGAGAACCACAGTCCTATATGTAAAAGAACAAAACTTTTTCGTTACATAATTCACCTAGAGCTGAAATACAGGTTTCCTATGAGGAATTGAGTCTGACAGAGAAACAATGTACTTACAGGTTAGTATCGTCTGGTGTTCAGTTTATTCGCATGATATCGGCATACAACACATCACCTATCAAAAGGTATACCAGGTATTAACGTAGGACTTAAGCACCTTGTCAACCCAACACTATTTGGTTCTGCTAAGGGACACGGCGGGTGTCAGAGAAACCCATCGACGTAGCAGGTAATTCGGGGCTCATAGAATGATGGTCGCCTTTCGTAAAATCCAAGCTTACGGACGATTGTGATGTCTCGAAAATTTTGGAGACAAGCACGCCCTAAGCCCCGCACCATTGGCACGAAGCAAAGCGTTTCTTTTTTTAGCTGTAATAATTTGTATACGACTCACAAATGAACCCCAAAGGTGTTCTAAACTTAGATACTGTTCGAAGTTACGTGCTGGATATTACTTAAGATAGGCGATAAACGGATTCAACAAACTTCGTATAATTGGCTGTTGTTCTTGGCTAAATCATTGTGACAAGTGGCCTCTGCACTGTTAGCACTCCATGTATTTGAATAGTTTTTGTATATGTCAGTGCCATAACATGATAACTTTGTTTCAAGGCTCTTGCGAGTTTACCTTTTTCTATTACTAATCTACATTCAAAATGTGACTAAGTTGTCTGTTACTTTATGACGAAGTTTATTTATTTATATAATACGATATAAAATAGATCATCTTAAGTGGTTATTTGTACGTCGGACCTGCTTAAATTTATGACAGAAATAGTTAACATGATTCTTCTACGAAATGCTCGATTCGAAAAGAGCCCTTATGTCTATATTTGAGAATCAGGTTTGTTACGTACAATACAAAGTGTCTACTAGTAAGTTTTTGGTTACCTACAACTTACTTTACAACAAACTGCGTCAGATAAAATTTCATTGGTCGTGCCTATAAAAAAAATTAAAAAGTCATTTGATTGAAAACCGCCGTCAGAATGGCGTTAGATTATTATACGTGGCAATAATAGCGATATAGATTGAGAAAGGCTCTACAATGGGACAGAAATATAACGAGTTTTCGAGGAACGTTTCCGAATGTATCTTTGTTATCTATTTCATTACTTGAAGCTATTGGGTTATTTGGTTTCTCAGTTGAAAATTACTAAGTAAGTTCGAGGTGTTGAGTTATAATCTTTATTAACACATCATAACAGTTTATTACAGCTAAGGCGGTATGGGAAGTTTTCGTTCGTCGCACTTTCTGCACACGGAAGATGTTTATATAATGTCACTTGCCACGTTAGTTTTGTCTCCAACAATGCAGGTATAGCTAAATTATTATAAAATAAAATAACTTTGTATTTGATTATTGGTGGGTCAATGGGGTTCATTGTTTACTTTCTTTACGCATGACCAGCGCACCGGACTATACTGCTGAGCAGCAAATTGACGAAACGCCGTATCGACGACCATATCTCTCATTGAATCTTACACACACTACAAGTGTTGTTTTCTAATTCAATCAAAAACATTCGTTTTCACTTGCTGTCATCTGAAAAATGATTCTAATGTAGTTTCGCGCCATATCGTCAGGTACACTACATAGTTGAGCGATCAAAACAACATGCGGCTACCACAGCAGAAACAAACGCGAAACAGCTATTTGACCTGGGCGTACCAGTAGCTTATTATTAACAGGTCGTCTTGGCTAACCAAGCAAGTTGATACTCTATAGAAAAGCAATGAGTGCCTATTCTATACTTAGATGTTCGTGCCAGTTCCACAAGCCGCAGCGGCATCTTCTAATAGCATTCGCATGTTGTCTGAGCTTTCCCCTTTCCCTGAACGCTCTTATCCGCGAATAGTTATTACCATCGGAGGCGGCAGTAGCAGCGTCACTAACGATAATAGCACTAACCACACTTACACGATTACCATCACGTTTTTACGAAGCTTTATTCGATGCTATATCTTCGATCTCGTCCTCTTTCTTCAAGCTCTCTCTCCACTGCGACAGTAGCCCTTTCCCCATTGAAGGTCGTCTGCTTAACCCAGAGTATTCGTAAGAGGGGAATATGTACTGAGCAGGATTCCAAACGCAAACGATAGACTGGACTGATTAATTCTGTGCGAGAGACAGCAGTCAACAGTAGTTGTGTTGGTGATCGTGTTGAGAACCTAGAATGAAAGGTGGAGAAACGGAAAGGAGTTCAATTGGCTAAAATTTCGCGCGAAAAGCTTCTCATCTCATGGCTGTTTTGACCTTGTACAAGCTATTCTTCGCTTGATATTCATATGGAAGTCTCTGTAATCAGAGTATTGGTGAATAGTTAGTGATCTTGAACTTGTGTTGTGGAGTGGGCTTATTGTTCATCACTTAGGGAGCTGATCTATTAATGCATCGTCACAGCGGCTCACCTTCTGAACTAACCAAGTACGACCACCTATGATCAGCGGAGTAGATAGAACTTTGACTCATTCAAAAACCATAATGTTATGTTTTATAGGGCCGGAGCATTCGTTGAAGATCCAGCATTCTCGATTCGCGTTCATTTTTTAAAGCAGCAAAAGAGCTCGCTTAGAAGGGACCTTTCAGCCTAAGGTCTTCTTCTATTCGGTCATGTTTGCATTTGTTAGATCAATGTCAACTACATCAAGTATAATGTGTCAGTAAGTTGTGTCATTCGTAGTACGTGGGCAGCCAAATATGAACAACACTAACCTGAAATTAATATATTGGTACAGATACTATACTAGGACAACGGCCTGTCTGTCTGTCTGTCTGTCTGTGGTTCTCTGCGTATATGAAAGTAAGAAGTACTCAAGGAGGCCGACGCATCGGACACGGACTAACCTTGTTGAAACGAGTTACCGGTCAGCAGAATAATTAGATCACTTATAAGATAGGAAAGGTATACGCCTGCTCAAGCCGAAGCCCATTGATTTATTCACTGAATGTTTTAAGTAATGGGTTAGATTTGCTGTTCTAGTCATCTATTTTGCACGCACTTTGTATTTTTAGATTGTCTTTCTATCTAGCTATCTGAGATCGAGCTAGATTTAAGCGAACATTACTCAGGGTAACTAAAAAACAGAGCTCGTATGTGTACTGTATAATGATAGAACAAGCGAATCGACGAGTAAGTACAACCATAGATCATTCGAATTTCATTGTCTGAACCGTTCTGCAGTAAAGTGTAGTAAGAGCTCCCTTGTTCTACATGAAATAATCGTGTACTAAACAGTGGATTTTTTTCGGTTTTATCAAAATATAACGTTACCAATATTATATAAATTTTATTATATATTTCATATCATGCACCTTCTCTATAGCAATGTTGACTACAGGCGGAGACAGATGTTGATCGGATATGTAATCTCGGAGCATTTATTGTGTAGGTGACATGTCCTCAGACAACTGAATTATCTGAGAATAGGGAATTTATCGCCAAACATTAACACCAAACGCTGAATATAATCGCCAATAAGAATTGAGTTTGTCAGAATGGAAAATAGAACCAATGCTTTTGGTTCCTTTGAAACTAAAATGTCCCGCAGACAGGCGAGGCATTGCCCATGCTTTTATAGTTGAACCTAGGGATACATGTTCATCCCAGATTGATTTACGGTTGTACACCAAAATAGAAATAGAATCAATTTAGATCTAATTGATTCAAAATTTTTTGATACAGGGTTAGAATTAATCAACCGAAACTCGATTGGTCTTGTAATGATGAGACTGTAAAGCGTCACGAAAACAAATAAGCTGTTTTTTCATAAGTCGGTTTTTTTGCGTGGTTTCCTCTGCTTAATCAAAATCATGAGTCTACAATTGATACTATTATCCAGAGGAGTCTTAGTCGACATTTCACATTACTCCATATTGGTACATGCTCACTTATTATGCACTTTGGCTGAAATACACCTGCACGCATGGGTGGCCATTTTGCAAATATACGATATATTGTGCAAATTTTATAGTACTTATTGTAACATGATGTGTCTTTGCGTGTCAAGAGATCAATCGACAGACTGGCAGCTAGTGAACAATAGCTACAGTCCCTCCCATTATCTTATATTACCAATAATTACAGTTTTACCGATGGCATAGATGATATAGACATTTTTACGAGCGTACAAATATCTATATCATCTAACAGTTGTCGGAAGTCCCCTTGCTAATAACCTTCGTCACTTTCGATAATCCGGCGCGATTGGAGCAGTGGAAATATAAAAAGCTACAACAACAATTCAGTCTGTTTGGTCTTGCTTTAACAGAGCTGATATTAAGTGCCGTATATAAGACACGACAGTTTAGTAAGTTAATTTTAATTTTATTCGTGAGAATTTAGCAGTCAGTGCACTTTGGAGCTTCACCGCTTATCGCATGCTAGACATTAGGTCCTCGATATAAGCTTTTCTGGCGTATGTTTAGACGGAGTGGCTTGGGATTATGAGGTTTTGGTAAAAGTTTAGAATGATGTTTTCTTGTTTTGCAGTTATGCCAATATGTTAATGCTAGCATTTAAATGATGATTTCCCTCTAAATAACAATTATATTAACAATATAGTTGCAATACATATCGTCACATATGAGTAAGTTATACTGTCTGAGATTGAAGTCATGTCAGAGCTGAGCCTACCTACGGTCAGATATAGAAGACGAGGTACCTAATATGGCAGGGTCATTCGTAGTTGCAGATGGAATTTCTTTAATTACCGTAATTATAATTGTTATAAGCTAACCGATAGCCCGTCCGAGGCTAAATGTTTTTTTTTTAAGTAATATAACTGCGCTTGCTTTCCCACTAATGAGTGCGAAGGAGTGCAGAACTGCCTCGATCGAGCGTTATTTTATCCAAATGATCTAAAACGTTGCTAGAATGTATCGTATGTAAATAAAGACAAGAAGCTTTTCGTTATCTAGGCGCGTCCCATAGTGTATTTATGCTTGTTAATTAAAATGTTATGCAGGTGAGGGAAAATTGCTATTTGCTTGAAGTGGGGTAAACAATAGAGTTTGTGACCTTCGGTTAAAAATGACATAACAAAGTTGCCTGATTCTAAGGTCACATGATTCAAAGATTTCACTATGTGTTGACGTAGATAACCCTTTTAAAAACGCGATGGTTATTAGTTATCTATGTGTATCTTATGTGCTACGCATGGACACAATCCAGAATACCCGAAGGTACTAAAAATTAAATAAAAATTAGACCCATTGTTGTTACTTAGTCTAGAAGTAATTTGCTGCTTGGGATGGCATATGGGAGCAGATGTATGATGCCGCACTCGGCTATGCTGAGACGCATTGTTATAGGTTACGTGTCGTTAGCGTTCACGTATTTCGTATTCTTCTGAGCGTTCGACAAAGATGGCCAGGATTTCAAGTCAAGTAAGCATAGAATAAAATTGAATCCTATGCAAATAACTCGACGACGCGTATCTTTAAGTTATCATAGTATCACATATTTTGTTCTCTTCAAATCTGTATTAGATGAAGCCGAATCGTTTGATTGTTGTTACCTTGAGAAGCATTGACCGGGGAAACTTCACAAATTTTTCCTAGGATTCGTCTTTTAGCCAAAGCGAAGAACAAAGTAAAATGAAATGCAAACGTTTGCGTAGAGTGAACGACAGGACAGCAAAGAAAGCGTATGCGTTGTACCCTGCACTGGGAGGTAAATTGTGTGAGAAAAAAGTTTGTGATTTGTTCAATGCTATGGGATGAACAGGCATTGCTAGCGGGGCGATACTGCAGTTCAATGTGTTAGCTAGTTAATGCTGTCCAACATTTTGATTAGTAACTAATAAGAACGATTCAAGGTCTGTACACACGGCTGTTCAGAGTGAAGAAGGATATCATTTTTAAAATTAGACCTCCCGACTTATAGCCCGGGTAATTGTATAACCTAAATCTGAAGGCTGATAGAAAGAAGAGGAAGAAGAAGAAGAAGCGATTTCTTATGTGCATCAAGTACAAAAATGTGATTCGAAACAGTGTACAACTTAGGAACGCAACATCTTCCTCGAAATTAGTCATTGTAACTGACTCATCACTCTGTGATCATCAACTGACTAAGGAACTTCGAATTTATTGTTTTATCATAAAAGCATTTACGTATCTTGACCTGTTCTTGCAAATCATTCTTTTAGTCTATTAATGTATACTACGTTAAAAGTTTCGTCATCGGTAGGCAAATAAATGAATATCCTGGCATCCGCCTACAAACGTATATACGTTTCGTGATAAAGGCAGTGACGTAAGAAGCTTACAACTAGGCCTAGTTGTTTTAAGAAAGGTGTAAAATAAAAGTATTTTGTAATGAAATTTTTATAGTCATGGTTCATTTGGGAGACTCCTATAAAATAGTCACGCTTTTTTTGGACTATCGAAGTCTCTCGTCTACCCGTTAACGTAAAAGAAATGCGTTCTATCTGCAGGTTCCATTAACCTAAACGGTGGCGTATTTCTCAGCGGAAGAACTTGTATCTGGCTGTGTTCCAGCTGCATGTACACAGCACTGTGATCCCTTTTCAATAACTGCTCCATTACCGATACGAAAGGATGAAGCTGAGAAGTATAATAGGTCTCATTTAGGCGACGAAATTCATCTTGTGAGTAGGCAAGGAGCTCATTGTACTGGTTGGAATGGTATTGCTGAATGTTAGGAGGCCGATCAGTGTCGACGTTTAACGAGAGGCTAAAGGCATCGTCGACCGCTTCCTTTGCCATTGTTTCCACAATAAACAAGTAAAGGCGTGCAGACTCAAGCTGAAATAAAAATAAGTAACACCTGTATTATATCTGCTTCTAAATACCTATATGTGGTACAAATTCAAAAGAAAAATTCCACTTGTGTATATGGAGGGATTCCACAAGCTGGCAATTCTATATCCAATAAAGTTGGCACCGTTGGGCTATTAATGTCCATTTCAGTGGCCAATCCCGTTACTGCAGTTGGTGTAACGCAAGTGAGGGTTGTGCTCGAAACTCGACAGTACTTTTTGAATCCATGCGACGGTAAAAAAATGTTCGTTTAGAGAGAGCCTCTAATAAAGCCTAAAAATACAAGAGACAGACGGGAAAATAAGTTAGGGCCTTGGTTAGGGCCGACCTGCGCTTCGGCTTTTATTATCGTACCCTTTTCGTTATCTTGTGTTTCTTGTATTATCGTTAAGTGCAGTGCCTCCATCTTAGAATTCGATATAGTATTTTGTGGAAAAAAGGTATAGGAAAAGGTTTTCAAAGCAAAAGGTAATTCTAGTGCTTGTTCGTTAACTTCGAACTTCAGTGGATACCTTTCTTATTATTATTATTTTGTAGGTAAGCTCCAGCTGCTTTGAAAGATTGTTTTAGTGTTCTTGAGCTAGTAGTCGCTTCACTTGCCACGTAGGCTGTAGAAGGTCGCGTAAGCTATAGTCTATAGTAGTTGACTGTTCTCAGTTTCTGAGGTAACTCAAATCTATTCAAGCGAAAAGGCTGCAAATGAGGCTTCGGCATACTTTTTTCCACCTAAGAATAGCGTCTGGAACTAAGCATTCGACTATTTCCCATTTTAATTTATAGCAGATAATACTAATATGAACTCGTGTTATCGAAAACTTAGCGTGATTCTGCGCAAATGGCTCTGATACATCAACTTCGAAAATTTCGAGGCAGTCTCGTTGTTTTCACTACACATTTTGGCGGCAGTTGTGGTCGACGGGAATACGTTCTACATTAACATTTTATTTCGATGTTCAGGAAGAGTTAATTTTTCAGTATCTGAAGGCTACCATTTATGACAGCTTGCAACTGGATATGTTTTGACTGAAATTGTTTTACAAGTAGCTTAACAATAACCAGCTTTACTAGAAGTATATCATTGTAATCTGCCTCAGTATCTAAACAGAACTTTACGTACTTCAGCCGTACGTTCTATGAGGCCAAAGCAAATTATAATATTGCATAAGAAAATAAGTTGATATCGAACGTGACGCCTACAGCCAGATGTACTCTAAAGTATGCGACTTGGATTTATAAGAACAAAAAAATCCAACAAAATGCATCAATAGTCAATAATATTACTGAAAATACATTTGGGTATTTTTTTTTTATGTAAGAGCTGTTCATTCTCGATGTCTCAGATCTATTCAAAGATTTTTGACTGCAACAGCGTAGCCTATGCGGGCGAAATGGTTTTTTATCACACATATCAGTCGGTTTTGTTCGTCGTCGTTGATGCTGAATTACTGAAAATATGTTAAGGAACTTGGTCATTTTAGGTTTTTCTCATAGCAGCGGCTAGGCATGCTGTACTGCACTACGTCGGGTGCATTTATTCAAAAGCGATGTTTATGCCTTCCATAATTGGCAGGTATAATGATCCTACTGGACAAGATAGTTCGGCGTATAGACAGAACATGATCGAACATCTTGTATTTTATCTTAAGTAATCCGCAGGTAGTTCTTTGAGTGACATAATGTTTCATCTATAAAGCTAGTTATAATAGGACTTCGATATTATGGCTATTCGATAGACTGGTGCCATCTCTAGCGGTTCGAACGTAATACATCGGGATTGAGTGACATGCTATAATCCAGAACGCCGCCTGTGTGATTATTGCTCAAGTTACTACTAAAAGTTGATACTACGAATAGCTTACTGATAGTCCTATTGTGACCACGTAACTGGGTTTTTTCGTAGTATGCAGTAAGCTTGCTTAAGACTGCTCGAATGCATCTACTTTGTATATATTTACGACCTTTCATGTAAATAAAAAGCTGAACTATTTTACTCTAGTGTTCATATATAGTCACTGTGTCGTTGGAATTATTAGCTCGTTGCTTTCTCCTACTGGAACTCACGCTGACGCCAGTCACTTTCCCCGATCCACACTATCCATTAGATCTTCTTGGGTCGAATTATACAGACAGAAAAGTGAAATATCTATTAGTCTATAACTGATCATACTAAAATGTTGTGGTTTCTGCGGCGTCGTAAGCTGCACCATGTACGCATAAATACATAGATAGTTTACGATTTTTTCACTATATATATACATTGAGTTGAGTCGGGCTGCGCTGTTTCGTGTCGGAAACCTTTGCGGTTCGTGTCCGTCAGAATCTGTATCCTATTTAGTAGGTGCAGTTAAGAATCCATAAAAGCAACGCACACGTGTGGTGTATATACACATCGTGCGAACACGCTGGTATAGTGGAGACGATGTTAATAAAAATTGCTTACCTCAGTTGTCAACGATTTGTTTCATCGGGGCATCTATTTGCAAAAACTATTGTAGGGCAGCTTCGTGTTCCTATTCCTAGAAGTGAGGCTGAGGTATGATATCGGTTATCGTTTGATCTGATGCTTTTTGCCGTACGCCACTTGCTATGCCATGTTATATACGTCAATCTGCTGATTGTCGGAAGTGGAATAGCAATTTCCGACAATCCGCTCCTTTGTTGTTTTTAAAATTACGAACGGCTTTTCAGAACATCGCCAATAGTTTGTTTGGATTTTTGGATATTAATCTAATTAATTTATTTAACATACAATCCCCAAGGCCACATCAGTGTTATATATATATTGTACCCCTTATACGTACCATCTTTCATCTATGGGAACGAATTTAGATAGTAGTCCTCTTCAGCTACGTAAAACCAACATACAACTTTTGTCAGTAGATATCGAGTTAGCTTCAGGCGCTGTTACGAAGACGCGCTGTATTTAAAGTGCTTCAATGAACACTCTGACTTTGAGGTGTTCGCGATAAAAACAAAGTGGTCTAAATTATCCGTTAAACATTACCTTTTCAAACGTGCACTTAAAATAGTTAAACTCGTTTATCCTACATATTTTACCCTCATCGAAACGACACACTTGGTATTTTGTTGAGCAATAATTGGCCGCTCGTAGGCACGTGATGCTCAATGATGGCCCTCACATCCCATAATTTATTCACAAAAATCTATTGAACAAATAAGCGAAATAAATGGTGAGAGAATAAAAGCAAAACAAAAAACGCTAACACTGCGCTTTTTTAGCTTCTTCATTACAGTTAGATTCCCATAGAAGATCAACCAGCTCGGTACGCTGACAATCTTGTGATAGCGTTGGCGACAACATTGCTAATTAACGATGGCCGCCACGGTAATGCTCATCCATTTCAACGATTGCTACAATGTCGAAGCACAAAAGACTGAGCCCGTGGGAGGCGCGACCCGTTTCTGTACGGCGGTTAAGTCACTGCGGCCATTTAACCCATTGGTGTTATTCAGCGGCGATATTTTGGCTCCATCGATTATGAGCACGTTCACGAAGGGCGATCAAATGGTTCCCGTCCTCAACAGCATCCAAACTGATTGTGCCGTGTATGGAAATCATGACTTCGGTGCGTATCTTACACACGCATATACACCGAGACGCTTAGACGCTGTTCATTTGCGTGGTTTAGCAAATACGGAATCGCTTAACCTAGGTAATAGGCTGTTTCAAGCGTAGGATACGCATGTAGTTCGTTCGCCATTTTCCCGAAAGGCGTCTGCATGTCTATTGCCTACTGCTCTAACGTTTTGGTAAGATTCACAGGTAAATCCCAGGTATTTATTTTGACATGATGGAACAGATCCACAAGTACCTTTTTTTTTGCTTTTGACTCTATGAATTTGCCTAATTATACGTGCATGCGTGCAAGACATTACATTATATTTATGTGCCATAGGCCGCAGGGGGAACGTGTATTCATCGCATAGGAGATAGTAGACGAAACAGTTCACGGCTTACGGAAGCAATTGTACCTGCTGATCTTTTATGGCAATGTTGAAACATTTATAGTCTGTTTGGGTAAATGACTGGGTTTGAGGCAAATGCATTAGCAGTAATAAAACTTATTTATGATGTCCACATTTTTACCAGAAAAAAGCGTATTGATTGTACCAAACAAATAACTAATTGAAATTATTTTCTTCATCTCGAATTGTCCTCATATATGGTAAAAAATCATCGACACGTACATATACTAAATTAATTTAGTAATACTATTATTGCGTCTGTGCGTTGTGAAGTTTGATCTATAGTTTTTCTTAGACTTAAAAATAAATCTCATCTAACTTATTGTAAATAAAAAAAAAACTCTACTATAAATATAAATATATTTTTTACCGCTCAGTTTTTTTTTTACTTCATAGATGTCATATATAACTTGCTTCAATTCCGATAGCAAACGAATTATGTGACCTATCATCGAAATCCAATCTGACTTTCGTGTATAAAGATATAAAATTTCTGTTTCTGTATTAGATTTCGGCGTAGACAACCTGATCGACTTTAAGGATAAATGTAAATTTCCATGGCTGATGAGCAACGTTGTTGACAACGAAACTCAGAAACTATTGGCTGACGGCTCTGAATTTGTCATTCTCGAACGCACTGGAAAAAAGGTAGAATAGGTGAAAGAAAGCCTAATAGAAAGGGTCATTTTAACAAGGTACAATAAGCGTAACTGAATTGAAATCTAACTTTAGACAATATAATTATTTATGTCAGTTCAGTTCTTATAAAATCAACGGAATCACCGATTAAGGATGTTAAAAATATGAAAAGAGAAAACATATTTTTATATTAACATAGAATGTACGTACGTTATCGTCATCAAGTATCATCAAGTATAGCGTAAAGACAAACCAAATGGAAGGCGGCCTTTTGTACTAATCTTTTTTTGTTGCTCAGTGTCCTTTATTCGCGGCCCTGTATAAGTTCTGTGAAGCGGTTTATACGTGCGGATCAGAATTATAGACAATTTTGTCATATACAATTTTTTTTCAGACTATTATTAAGTCGACTTAATGGCTATTTAAACTGGTCTTCTAGGGCCATGGCTATTTAAGGGCATCTAGAATCGTACGTAATAGAGATGAAAACTACAATCGAGGGTCTACCGAGGGGATCTTAGAAAGATTTGTTGGAGTAACGATAATAGACAATTTTATAATGTATGGTAGTCATTTGTAAGGCAGACTTACCTTGGGCAGAACGTTATTGATATTAGTAACGGGGCTCTTAGATAGTCTGACGATATATAGCTGTGAGTAGCTAAATCTACATATTTTAATTCTTCCCACAACTATCTAACGGTGTCCATTTCGATGGTCAAAAAAAAACTAATATTAGACCCATTTGTTATTGTCATTTTGTGCGTTGTTTTAGTTTGGAATTATCGGCCTTGTAGAAGAAGAATGGTTGGCTACGCTAGCTACAATTGACGCTGAGCAGGTAGAGTTCCGAGATTTCGTAACTGAAGGACGACGGTTAGCTCGACTCCTCAAAGGACCGAATCATGGATGCCGCTATGTGATAGCTCTTACCCATATGCGATTTCCCAATGATTGTCGATTGGCGGAGAACGTCGATGAAATCGATCTAATTCTTGGCGGACACGATCACGTTTATGAAATTAAAAAATGTGCAGGTGGGCACATATATATGATGAAATAAATTGATTGATAGTATTAATTTGTTAGTTTTGTTTTCAGAGTGAATTGTTTTTATAGATAACTTTAGCACGTGGGACCCGTGCCAATTTGGGTTATTGAGTTACTATTTGTCCCATGTTGGACCCTAAGCAAAATTGCCCCGTTTGGATCGTAATGATTTTGCAATGAACTATTTTAAAGCTTCTTTTTTTAAGGTTTGATATTCACTCGATTACAATATATGATGTTTGCAGGAAAGTATATCGTGAAATCCGGAACCGATTTTCGCCAATTCTCCAAAATTATTCTAACGTTTACAGTCGAGGGACCAGTCGACGTAACTATTGAGGAGGTAAATATCACATCTAAATACGACGAAGACGAAGATCTCCTCCAAGAGCTCAAGAAGTACGACGCAGTAGTTCAAGGTGAGACGAAATTCTCGTATATAAAATTCTATTGCCTAGATACAAAAAAAGTATCAAAGATATTAGTGTGATCAGAATGCTGTTTAAAGACTGGCATTTAAAAGGTCTCAAATACTTACCCTCAATATGTAATCTCTGTGAGCTTGTCGCTCAAGCAGGTAAAATGGATGAAGTTTTGGGTCAGTTCTCAGTGGACCTCGATGGCCGATTTAGCTCAATCCGTACGTCTGAGACGAATTTAGGAAATTTTATCACGGACGTTATGCTAGCTGCGACGCATTCCGACCTCGCATTGCTCAATTCGGGCACCCTCCGCTCAGATCGAGTGCATCCGAAAGGTTCTTTCACCATGCGTGATTTGGTGAGCAAACTACTATGAACAAAGAACACCAATAGTAAATTTATATTCGCTATAAAAGTTATTTTGTGTAGATGCTTTACCACAATAGAATATACACTGCATCACACGTTTATTATATCACATAATTGATAATAATATGCTTTCTATTTTATGTGAATGAATAATATTTGATGTTTGTATATTCAGAGAAAATTATACCAGTTAGTATTTGTACGTCGTGTCGGTCGCATATATCTTTATTCCAGGTGACTGTCCTTCCAATGATGGATAGTTTAATAGTTCTAGAGGTTACAGGAAAGCAAATCGTAGGGGCCCTTGAAAATGGCGTAAGCCTGTATCCGAGACTCGAAGGACGATTTCCACAGGTAAGTACGTCATCGTGTATCGTTCTTGTAACTTCCATACTTGTTAGCGGTAAGTGTAATGATTTGTTAAAAATACTTGATGTTGTCTTATCTTTAGCAGTTATTAGCTGACAAAACTTTAACAGGCCAGAGAAACCTTCTATTTGTCTCGTATTAAACATCGCTTAGTGTTTAAATCGTTTATTTCATTATTGCTTATCTTAGGTGTCTGGAGTTTCATTTGCATTTGATCCTCGAAAGCCAGCAGGCAAACGTATAAACCCCGACCACGTAAAGATTGGAGATGAAAAGCTCGATCTGAACCAAAGATACCGACTTGTCACGAAGATGTACCTTTACCAGGGCAAGGACGGTTACGACATTCTTAAGAACTCGCTTATATTGGTAACTGATGGCGTATTATTTATTTAATGATTTAGAGAAACAAGAGCAATTTGCGCTTTACGAATGTAATTTTTCAGCCCATTTAAGCACTCAACAAGGTATAACCAGGGGATTTTTTAATATACTCTGTCAAGCGGTCTTTTTCTTCTTGACATCTTCGATGGTAAGCCGATGTTAAGCTCGATGTTAAGGTCGCAGCCTTTCGCAGCCAAAGCGATTCGAAATTTTTGCGTTGAGTACGGTGTGAACTCCATAGCTGATAGGGCCGCTCAACGGTCGCTTAAAAGACACAGAAAGGTAAAAGAAGACAACCGGTGAATAACACGTGAATCAGCAGAGAGGCTAAATTCCAGTCGTATAATTATCTACCGTTATCTTGAGTCTAAAATATTTACCCAAGTTTAGAAAGCCTGGCAGCGCCGTAAGCTCAGTGAAGAGAACAAGGAAATGTGACATTTCGCCTAGCAGCAGGTAATACGCAACCGCAACGGCAGGTTTCTACGCAAACTGATCACCGATGACGAGCAACGTTCTCTCTACATTAATATAAAGTACAAAAAAAAATGGATAGCTTTGAGTTAAGCTAGATCACCATCCTGTCTGAAGGGAGCCCGCAATTCACCCGCTGAATGCGACGTTCGTTTGAGTCCACTGCATTTTGTTGGTCTCATGGCAACGAGCTAGTGTTTCTACCGTCCGCAGGCACATAAAATTCGTAACGACGCATTTCACAATGAAGAAGGCTCTCGAACTCGGCGGACGCGTTGTTCAGTAGCAGACCCATAAGTTTTCAACGAAATAATACGACGAATACAACGAATACAGAAACCGGTTGGAGATGGGAGAAGATCATAACTAGTAACAATGAATAAATCGTAAATGAACTTTAAACTAAAATTAAAGTCAGATACTCCGTTTTTATCAAGTGGAAAAAACTATTATTACCTGTGTACTTAATACTGTTGTGCTGCTATATCAGAGAAACATAAAACTCGATAAGCTTGTCGAGCGATGTGCCATCAATTTCAACCAAATCATAGAATCATAAAGACGTATTATTAATTGTTAAGCTCTGCTTTATTTGATTTCCTATCGCTCTTTCAGATGGCTGAAGACGAATCGCCAGAATTATGTACAGCAGTTCAGAATCATTTCCAGGCGATCAAGATGCTCACGGGGGCTCAAGAACATTGGCATACGCACCACAGACAAAGTCTTGTGGCTCTCTCAAGGAGGTTTGTGGTTAACTTGTTAACGTGTCTGTTTTCCACGCGATCCCAACAAATCTAACAATTTACACTGATGTTACGTTATGCCATGTTCTAGGTTCACATGATACATGTATTATTTGTGAAAAATAAAGTACCACTTAATCATTCTTCTGTTTCAATTAGAAATGTTTCTAATTGATCACAAAAATGAACAACAGGTGATTTCACTGATTGTTTTATTATTTCCAATTTAATTCGAAACAGTTTGAACCATTAATAAGCAGCTTAACAAAAAGAAGGCTTGAAAAATTTACCTATATTTTTTTATACCGCTTATGTTAAAATTATTAAATTATTAAATGAAGACAAACAGAAATTTTAGTACAACAAAAACATGATTACGTTTAAAGCATATACGCTCTGATTTTTTGTTTTTCTGCTTAGTTTAGTTATTAGTAAAACTTGAATAAAATGTTAGACATTCCCTTTCAACATACCCTTTCTACCAAAAACGTATAAATTAAGTAGTGCAGCCGGCAATTAATGGAAAATAGTGAAAAGTGGCTTAATTGATCTGTTTTCCTTTGTTATCTCAAATATTCGTATATCCGGTTTCGATATTTGCCTGAAGGGACGTTTATCGTTAACTCGACCATGAATAGATGTAATTTAGCTTTGGTGATTTCTTTAAATTTATTTCTTGTTAATTCATTGTCGTTCAACCCCGTTAACGTTTCACTGCATATATATTTTAATACACAAAGTTTGCTATATCAAGCTCATACGAAAACTCAAAATACGAAAACTGCACCTTCATATGCTACCATAAAAGTTAAAATGCTGACTCTACACTTAGGAAAAAGTTATTCTCATTTGCTTCAGACATAGATTCTATTGGCCGCTAGAGATTAAACTTGCGATGTTGATAAAATTTGGAATATAGTTTTTTTCGATACCGCCCTTAGGTTTTAGTCTGTTCTGGGATCAGGCTGCGACGACTTCTGTTTACTTTTCGACCCTTGCTGAATTTCAATGCTTGGTTAAGTTGTATGACGTTAAGTTCTATAGAACCAGCCCAGCCCCGGTGATGGAGTACTGCTTAGTCTGCTAAACTTGAAAGATGAGCGGTTTGAACACGAGTACAAACTAGACATACGTCGTTTCGTGATGGGAGAACGCCTAAATGCGGTGCCGGACGTAAAAGTTTTAATTTTAACTCTTTTATTTACTAGCATATTTAACTTTAGTAACATATTAAAAACCGCAGCGTTCCGCTCACATCATTAAATCGGAAAAATCGAATGCATCTGTTATGTTTCTTTAAGGACATCAGTCAGTCTTTTTAATCATGGATATTACATACATATATAGATAACTAGTTCAGCACCGTTTAGCCGGACACAATGGTTAGTGCGGCAGGACCGGACGTAAAATTCGACACATACATTTAATAGAATTCATTTATATA